AGGAGTTTGAGGTATTGTTGAATCAAGTTCCTGGGTTTACAGATGATGTTTTAATGAGTTTCTTTGTTTCTGGATTACATTCTGAATTACGTGGAGCCATTCAGTTACAAACAATGGCCGAAATCCCTACATCATGCTATGCAGTTAGCTTATGCCCTTGACACTCACCATGAACAATTACGTTCATCTATGGCTACCAAGCTAAAGAAACTGTTTCACACCAGCACCCAAAACAGTAATAACCATACTTTTCCCTACCCCAAACCTGCAACCACTAACACTTTCACTCAACCAGTAACTACTAGTATACCAAAACCTTTGTCATCTCAACCATCCAACCTTCCTATTAAGAGGCTTTCCCTTGAGGACATGGCGAAGAAAAGAGAACTTGGTCTGTGTTACACATGTGATGCCAAATGGACAGCTAAGAACAGATGTCTAGCCAAAATGCTTTTGTTAATTGGTGAATTAGATGAAGAGGACCAAGAAGATGAGGAAGAAATTCTATGGACACCTAATACTCCAAGAGAATCAATAGAAGCTTCCTTGCATCATTTGTCAGGATCTCTGAATCCTAGAGCATTAGTTCTTGAAGCCAGGATTTCGAATCATGTTGTGGTGTCTTGGTTGACTCAGGCAGCTCACACAACTTTATAAGCCGTGAGTTAGCTACTTCTTTAAGGATTCCAACCATCCACTCTCGAGGAATGAAGGTGTTTATGGGGAACGGTGATTTTCTGGTTTGCGAATGGAAATGTCCTGTAGTTCAACTGTGGATTCAGAATTATTCATGTTCAGTTGACCTCTGGATTTTTGATTTACATGAATTGAACATTGTTTTGGGCATGGCTTGGCTGGGAAGTCTTGGTAGGGTAACTCATGATTATATAGAACAGTCCATGGAATTTTCTTGGCAGAGTCAAGTAGTGAAGTTACAAGGTGTTATTGATTCTCCAAGCTTAATGGTCATGAAGGATACCCCTTTTTCTTCTTGCTGCACAATGCTGTCAAAAACAGGTTCAGATGCTGGAGTACAGGTAATTCCTGAATTAAAATCTCTTCAATCTACACTTGAGTTGGTTTTATGGCAGGTTCTAGAAAAATACCAAATTGTTTTTCACACACCTCATACATTACCACCCTTTAGAGGAATGGATCACTCTATTCATTTAGTGGAAGGTGCCAAACCGGTTAATGTGAGGCCTTATCGGTTTCCTCATGATCAAAAATTTGAGTTGGAGAAACAGATTTCGGATCTGTTATCTGCAGGAATGATTCAACCAAGTAGAAGTTCGTTTTCATCACCTGTTTTACTCATAAAAAAACAAGATGGAAATTGGAGAATGTGTATAGATTACAGGGCACTAAATGCAATCACTATTCCTGATAGTTTTCGTATACCTACCATAGATGAACTTTTGGATGAATTGCTTGGTGCCACCATTTTTAGCAAGTTGGACTTAAGATCAGGTTATCATCAAATACGTATGTTGCCTCATGACATCCACAAAACAACATTTAGAACTCATGAAGGACATTATGAGTTCCTTGTAATGCCATTTGGATTAACAAATGCTCCATCCACCTTCCAATCAGCTATGAATCAGATTTTTTGACCATTTTTAAGGAAGTTTGACATAGTCTTTTTCGATGACATACTTATTTACAGTACTACTGTAGAACAACATGTTATTCACTTGGAATCAGTCCTATCTTGCTTGGAACAGAATGAGTTTTTTGTGAAGCTTAGTAAATGTGCATTTGGAGAATCTGAAATCTCTTACTTGGGGCATATAGTGTGTGCTGAAGGGGTTAAGGTTGGTCCTAAAAAGGTAGCAGCCGTGCTTGATTGGCCACAACCCACTACTATAAAGCAGCTAAGAGCCTTTTTGGGACTGACCAGTTATTACAGGAAATTTGTGCATCATTATGCAAACGTAGCCTGGCCTCTTACTGAACTGCTAAAATCAGAAAAATTGACTTGGTCCAATGAAGCAACTAAGGCTTTTTGTGATTTGAAAACAGCAATGAGTTCCACACCTTTACTTGGCTTACCTGATTTTTCATCTGTGTTTATAGTTGAAACAGATGCTTTGAACTGTGGCATAGGGGCTGTACTCATTCAGAATGGAAGACCTCTATCGTTTTTTAGCAAGAAATTGGGTCCTCGAATGGTAGCTTCTTCTACTTATGTTAGGGAGTTGTTTGCAATTACTGAAGCTGTTAAAAAGTGGAGACATTATCTCCTTGGTGGGCATTTCATCATCAGGACCGACCATCAAAATATAAGAGAACTACTCTCTCAAACTATACAGACTCCAGAACAACATCGATATGTCCACAAACTACTTGGCTATTCATTCTCCATTGAGTATAAACCTGGCTCCTCTAATGTAGCAGCAGATGCTTTATCAAGACAATTTGAGGAGACAACTAAGAGCTCTTTATTTGCTCTCATTTCAGAACCTCAATTCGAGCGCATTGATCGTATAAGAGTTGAAAATTCACAAGATCCTGAGCTGATCTCATTACATCAGCAAATTAATAATGAAACTTTGGCTGACAATTCTTTTACTTGCAAAGATGGCATTGTTTATCATAAAGGCAGATTTCACTTGAGTTTGGTTTCTTCTTTGAAATCTGAGCTTATAGAGGAAGCACATTCAACTCCTTTAGGTGGCCATACAGGTTCTCTTCGAACTTTCCTTCGGTTGTCTGCCTCATTCCATTGGAAAAACATGCGAAGGGATGTTACACACTTTGTTAGGGAATGTGTCATCTGTCAACAGATCAAAACAAGCACTTCAGCACCCTTGGGCCTGTTGCAACCTCTTCCAATCCCAGAAGCTGTGTTTGAAGACCTCACACTAGATTTTATAACCAGCTTGCCAATTTCAAATGGGCTAGCTACAATTTTGGTAGTTGTGGATCGATTATCAAAGTATGCTCACTTCATTGGCCTACCTTCTTCCTACACAGCAGCTACAATAGCCAAAAATTTTTGTGAATATGTAGTGAAATTGCATGGATTCCCTCGTTCTTTGGTATCGGATAAAGATCCAATTTTTATGAGTAATTTTTGGCAGAAATTGTTCTCATTGAGTGACACTAAACTCAAGGCTAGTTCCAGTTATCACCCACAAACGAATGGCCGATTCGAAGTTATCAACCGTTACTTGGAACAGTATCTACGTGCTTTTTGTTCTGAACAACATCAAAGATGGTCACTGTTTTTATGTTTGGCGGAATTACATTATAACTCTTGTGTTCATTCAGCTATTGGGATGTCTCCATTCCAAGCACTTTACGTTCGATCCCCTCCCACCATTCCTCATTATCCAAGGGGGTTAGTTACAATAGAAGCTTTAGACACAATCCTTTGTCAAAGGAATGAAGTATTATCGGAATTGAAAGCCAATTTGCTGCGTGCACATAATAGGATGAAAAATCAAGCTGATCCTCATCGTCGTGATTTGGTTCTGGCCGAAGGAGATCTAGTGTTAGTAAGGTTACAACCTTTTCGTCAATTATCAGTCGTGAACCGTACGAGTCAGAAGCTTGCCAAACGTTTTTATGGTCCTTTTCCTATAAAGAAAGTGATCAGCACAGTAGCTTACCAACTGGATCTCCCTGCAACATCCGGAATTCATCCTACTTTTCATATTTCTTGCTTGAAACCTTTCCGTGGGAATACAACTGTTCCTATTGCTCCTCTACCATCATTGAGTGTGGATAATAAACCGGTTCAATCACCATTGTCAATACTGGCTACTCGTTCGATAGAAGTTAATGGCAAGCCTCATGAGCAATTTCTCATTCAATGGTCCGACACAGTTCCGGAAGATGCTACTTGGGAGTCAGCAGAAGAAATTAGATTGGCTTACCCAAGGTCAAACCTTGAGGACAAGGTTTCGCTAGAGAAGGGAGCTGTTGTTACGAGCACGCTCAAATCAGAAAGGGGAAAACGAACACCAGCATGGATAAATGACTATATTGGGTAGTTAGTTAAAGTTGTTTAATAGTTGGTTAGTTATTTAACCATGCGACTCAATAGAATAATGCCACGTAGGCAAATGGGTTCTGCTGTGTAATTGAATAGGTCATATAAATACAATTGTAGAAGGTTAGGAAAGGTATCAATGAAATAATACAAAGTCATTTCTATTTTTCCTTCGTTCTCTTCTCTTCACCCTCGATACTCTGTATCAGCAACCGTATATAACTAATTATTACAAAACAGGTTTAATCTCACGCTGCACACTGCTGGAGTCATTGCTGCTTCAGTTGGAATGGCAAACATCATTGCTCGACCCTTAGGTGGATATGCTTATGATAAAGAGAACAATAACTTTCGTTGGGGGTATTTTAGTCTCAAAAATACTTATTGTCGATTCCCTTTGAGTTGCGATCGTCAATTACCACCAAATTTTTGGTAAAGAGAACAGTAACTTTCGTGTGCAAAGGAGATTACCGGTAAACGTTGGATGTTCAGGAATTGAATTTTGTATCCTTCTATCAAACATGGTAATATATCATTACCAAAGAAGGTTTACCGGTCATCTCTCAAATTTCCCTCTACCAAACACACCCTCGGTGTTATTTTTCTTGCTGAGAGGGCTGTTGTAGAGTTGCAGCTCCTCTCTTTGTAGTTTTCTTTTCTCTTTTCTGGGCTGTTGGCCCTCCACTAATATCAAAAAAGAAAAAATTGGAGACACGGAAGAATTTCTCTATCACAAATGCATTCTTAAGAATTGAAGGCCTACCTCTCTATGACTGAGAAAAAAAAAAGTGAAATAAAATTGTGGCTGCTGCTTATATTTCAAATACCTTCTGTCTTTTGGTCTTTGTATTTAGATTTTGTATTTCTATTCCTGCATCCTTATTACCCTTCTTCCTGTTCTTTCGGTTCTCGTTTTAAATTGTTGTCACTGCCGCAGGTGCAAGGCAATATGCATGATTTTATAATATTATTCTAATACTATGTATAGAAGGCCAGGAAATAAAAGAAAAGCTGATATAGCATTAGATACAAGTTACAAATGAAGTGCATGATGCACTTCCACAAAAGAAAAAAGAAGAAGAAAAAGACCCTATTTTATTTTATAAGCAAATCACTGGGATCTCATCCTGTTGATCTGGTTGAGAGCAGGCTGCAAAATGTTATATAGAACCCAAAGAATAGCTGGTGCAACCACAAACAGCAGAAGCTGTCCTCTGTTGTCACTAGCAGCTTCAGCAATCACAGCGATCTCACTAGCCGATGCATCTGGTGCTGACACCAACCCTGAAGCTGCTAACCCACCAAGACCCAACCCAATGATAACCCCTTTGGTGCTACGCATGCGGTTGATTTGGTTAAGTGCTGGCTGCAGAATGTTGAACAGAACCCAAGCTATGGCTGGAATTATGGGTAACAACAGTGCCAGGCCACGGTTATCGCCTTCGGCTATTTCAGCTATTTGCTGTGCAGCAAAAGCCGGGTCACAGCTTCCAAGGGTTGAGAAAATGGCTCCTGCTATTGCTGTCCCTGCTATGGAAGTGGATAGTTTAGTGCTTCCAATTTCTTTTTTTGTGGCAAGGCCATTTGGTAGGTTCTGAAGGGAAAGGAGGGAGGTTGGTTTTGATGTGATAAGCTTGGTGGGGTTGGGGAACTTTGGTGAACCAGCGTTCAAGCACTTTGCGTTGATCATGGCCATTGCTACTATGGTTGCTGCCATTGATGAACCTAGTGTGTTGAGAAGTTGCTATGAGTAGGGATCAGTATTTGGAATATATTTGGTAAAGCCAAGTCGGAGAAATGACGTCCAATAGGATTATTCCTTTTAGATTCTTATGTTATCCGAACAGTGTGATTGGTGAGATTTAGACCTCATATCCATGCTTTTCTTATCACTTTACTTGCTTCCTCAAATGCAATATTTGCTTGCGAGTCTTGTGGTGCTGCAACGACAAGTCGTTTGTATAAAAGAACAATAAAAAATTATATATATATATATATATATATATATATGAGAAAAGATATTCTTACTACCAAAATTTTCTACTACAGAACCACTAGGGTTAGCCTAGTGGTGTGGAGTGTGTGTTAGGAGTTTGTGTAGTGTAGGGTATTGTGTTCAATTCCTTGTAACCTCTAAATAAAAAATAAAAAATTTTACTACTAACTTACTACCTATCTAATCACCATTGAATCTAATAGAGAGAATGCTAAAAAGTTTTTGAAAAAAGAGAAAATATTGATCCAATGATGATTAAATAGGTAGTGAGTTGGTAGTAGAAGATTTTGGTAGTAAGAATATTCCTCCTCTATATATATATATATATATGAGGTTTGCATTTGTCATTTAACATGACACAACAAACTTTCCTACACACACAACATTTTGTGGGGCCCACACTTTTTGAAGAAAAAAGAAAAAACGAAATTACGGCACGCAAAACGAATCTCTATAACATTACACAATCTCTTTTCCTACAACATAACTCTTATAAAATTCAATATATATATATATATATATATATATATATATATAGGTAGGATCCTTTGACACCAGTGTCAAATTTGAAATTTGACACCTCACCTGAAAGCCATTAGATAAAAAAAATTCAATCGTGTCACATGCTTACAAATCAGAGTCGTTGATCTTTTTTGATCTAACGGCTCTTAGATAAGGTGTCAAAATTAAAATTTGACACCGGTGTCAAAGGATCCTACCTCATATATATATATATAAAATAATTATCTCATGTTGTATCAGATAATTATCTTATGCAACATAGACAAAATAGTGGGATTCATTATTTTATTTTATTTTTGACAAAATAATGAACCCTACAATCTTATCATATTTTATTTTTGACAAAATAATGGACCCTACAATCTTATCTCTGTTGCATGATAATTATCTCATGCAACATGAGATTAATAGATCCCTATATATATATATTGTTTTTATTTATTTATTTTTGTTGTCTTGCTCTTAATGCCCGGGTTTTTGGTCTTGGATAAATGGATTGAGAGTTTTAGGCCCATACTATGTTGCTATGAAAGTTGGACCTAGATCGGTACGAGGGTTCCCTTGAAAACGCTAACAGAACCTAAAATTTTCACCCTTTATATAATGGGCTAAAATAACGGGATTTAATTCTAAATTGAGAGATACTTAAAAGGATAAAATGCTTTTATCTTGGGGGATGCTTCTGTCTTCATTATGTTCTCCCTCCTGAGTCACAAAAATTACTTTATTTAAGATTTTTTTGTTTCATTGGGCTTAGAGGTATAAATGGGTTGGGTTTTGATTTAAACAAAATAGGTTAGTGTAAATTACTTTATGTCTAGCCTAATCTATTAATTTTAGGGGAATACTTTTCTCCTTTAAAAGGAGAGAAGAGTTGTCTCCTACTGAGACAAAAAAGTGAGACCAGCAATTTAAAAAAAAGAAAAAACAAAAATAAAAACTTGACACGAAAATCGATGTATGTGTAGGAATGAAATGTTGTCTCATGTGAAAGGAGAAAAATATTTCCCTTAATTTTATGTAGGTTCAAATTATAAGAAATTTATTAAGTGCATGGCTGCGGGCAGGAGGTAACAAGAAAAAGAAGGTCTTTGTTCACTAACTAAAATCCCTAGTCATTTGTATTAAAAAACAAAAGTCGTGCCTAGACATTTTAGGCTATTTAAGCCTATTAGGCATTCAATAATTAAAATAATATTATTTTATTATTTAAAATCGTTAAAATAATAATTTTATTTAAAATAAATAATATGATATAGCTTTATAGACCTAACATGTAAAAAACTCATTGCCTATTTTTTTAAATAGGCTTTTTTAAAAGTCTGAACATGTTTTATTTGACTATATATAATAGACCGAGACTGCCCTAATGTAAGCTAGACCATGTGCCCCTATTAGGTGATCTGACCTATTTATATCCCTAAATTTGGGTCTGCCCCACCATGATCTTATGTGAGATGCAACAAGAAAAATGCATCTCCCTTATTGTTATTATTTTTCTTTTTGGGACAATGCACAAGTAAATTATCGAGCTACGAAAATTGAATAAATTTTTTGAAAATTAAGGGTGCAAATAAAATTTATTTATTTTTTAATTCAAAGAATAGAAATGGTTAAAAATAATATTAGAAAAATGGGTTTACTTTTTTTTTCTGAAAAAGGAATCTTAGGCCAAGAATACAAATTAACAAAAAAAAGTTTTTTTTTTCTTTTTAATTCCTTGACACACTTTATTAAATGAATATATCGTTGGATATGATAATAGAATTAAATAAATATTATTTATTAAATACATATTCTTTTTTTGATGGGAATAGAAATGAATTGGGTTATCAGATAGTCCCCCCCAACTCTTCCTAAGTATAGAAATAGAAAAAGAAAAAAAATTCTCTCCAAAAATAGGACAAAAAAATTTATCATCCACACTGAGGACTCATTTAGTAGACATGACATGATGGATAAGAGAAAAAATAATAAAGCCTGAAAAACTCATATCTTATCTCGCGTTTGATATGCATCAGTTAAGAAGTGATTTGTGACTTGTGTTTGAAGGGAACTATATGATATAAATAGCAATGTTATTAAACTTGATTAGTCATCGACTCAGTCATGTTACTAGGTCAATAGGTTACTAGTTCACCAAAATAATGTGGCTTAGTGGTTAACATTTCACTCCCTTTCCACTAAGTGCTGGGTTAAAATCCTATGGGCGCAATTGTAATTTGATAAATAGAAAAAAAATATCTTTTATAATAGAATTTTATATAACTGTTTTAAATTTTTTTTTCTTTTAACTTATTTATACATTAATTCCTATTATAACTTTTTAAAATATATATACATATAATAACTTACAAAAATTTCTAAAATAAAAAATTATATACTTTGCAAAAAAAAATTTTAAAAATAAATAAATAAATAGTCAAAATTTATGTATGTGACATAATTTAGATAAAGTTTGATATTTGTTTTGTGAAAGCTAATGAAATCTTTTTTCAAGCATGCACGTCATGTTGATGGTGATATTGGTTGCCAAAGGCAATGGTCATTGGTGGTGATGTGGAAGCGGTGGTGCATGAATGAGTATTATATTTTATGAGCTTAAGGAGGCATACATTAATTTTGGAAGAAATTTTTTTATCCTATCGAACTTACCCCAAGCCCTTTTGGGATAGCTTACCAGGCCGCAGACAGGATATTAACATGAGCTAATGAGAAAAACTTACTATATCTGATTAATTCATCAAACAATGGATAAGAATCCGATTAATTCATCAAACAATGGATAAGAATGAGATACGATAATTTATTCTATCCTCCCTCTTACTTTAATGTCCCGCAAATACACCCTTAAGATGAAACAAGAAGAGTAGCTAAAAGGTGGAGGCGAAGGGTCAATGAACAAAACCTACCGACCGGTCATCAACTGAATTGGTTTATATCGAAAGACAAAAACTTGGGTTTCTTTGGACGCGGAGCGTAAAAAAATTTTGTGCAAGGAAAATCATGCAACAAAAATGTCTTTATCAATTACTTCAAAATCGAAGTCATAGAAAGCCATCCCCAAGTTCTTCCCTAACTCCACCACTTCTGTGCACTTGAAGAGAAGGTAAAGGATCCAATATGCGGTGAAGGGTCGTATTAAGTTCTTCGATCAATGTGTTTGTAATTGTAAAATGTTGATGGAATTGAAAATTAATAAAGAAAAAATGTGTTGATAAGCTCATTAATTATACAACAAACGCACCATGGCTCAATTTCAATCCGCTTCCCTTTATCATTTATAATTTTTTGGATGGTGATCAATTTCATTATTAAAATGTCAGCAACATCAAAATGGTCTTTAAATATTGTTTTTAGCATCACATGATATTATTTTTGCTTTAGTATATAATAATTTTTAAATATTTTGATATTTAAAAGTATCATTTGGTAATCAAATTAATTTAATAATATTTTGATAACCAATATAAGAATTTACACTAAAAGATAAAATAACTATGAAAAAACCAATTATAAGTTTAAGATAAAGTATAAAAACCAGCAGGAAATTAATGGAATGTTTTTATCTATCTATCTATTAATTTACATGATAGTTTATTTATATATCTTATGTAAATTGGTCCAGGTTTTGAGGGTGTTTTTTTAATATAAATTTAGGGGTTTTATTAATCTCCTTTTACATAAGATAGGTATCTTATGTTGTAGAGAGAAACTAGGTGGGTCCCACCATTACAAGAAAAAAGAAAAAGAAAAAAAAAAGTGAGGTGCGGAAATCGAAGTGAGAGAAAATGAGATAAGCTACCTCATGTAAAAGGAGACTAATACTTCCCTAAATTTAGAGTATTTTTTAAGATCAAATACTCTTTGACTTAAGTTCTACATGCTTTATAAATGAAATGAAATATTAGTATTATGTAATAATAAACTGTCCTAAATATTTACACTGATAGTTTATTTATATATCTTGTATAATACTTGAAAGAAAATGGTATTTGAAATATTATTGAATTGTAAATAATCTGTACAAAGGGTTCTCTATTTATAGAGAATACTTGACCTAATTTTAACCTAATGGGCTTGGCCCAATACAACAAATAAATGATTAAATAATAACTAAATAATTATTATTTACAACACTCCCCCTCAAGCTGAGGAATAGATATTTATCATTCCCAGCTTGCTAGTAAGTTCTTGAAATCTGTCTGAAGGAAGCCCCTTTGTTAATAGATCAGCTAAA